ACCAACCTTCTCTTAAACTGTTCTCCATCCACACAGCTGCCCCATCCTAGCGACATGTGCTCAGGCTGAGTTACAAGGAGACAAAACTCCAGCACTGGGAGACGCGGCTGCCTCAGGTCCAGCATCTCAGGTAAGAGGAACGGGAGCTAGAGTCAGAGGATTACCCCTACTGGGTTGAGCACACCCCTTAGTGTGGGAGAACTGTACCTTTTCAGTAAAAGTAAAGTATAGACACCCACCCCGCCCCAAATGCCTCTGCGCTCATCAAAGTTCACAGCCAGATGTTTAGTTCTCCTGTAAGACATAATACCAACCCCGTTATGATCCCCACAGTGGTCTCAAATCTGCACACTAAGTTAAGTCTTTTCCAAATGTGGGTTCCAAATTTACTTTTACCTTCCCTTTTGCATATCATATGTTCACTTATGCGTGCGGTGGTGTAAATTTAAAAGTCTATCCAAGAGATTTCGTGGGAACAGGTCCTGTAGACTCAAGAGGACCAAAGTGCTAAGGTTTAACCTTTGAGCCCTGAACTCCTAGCTTCAATCTTGAATTCCCTCTCGGTGCACCAACTCGGTGACCCCAAGTTTTACGTTTCATTTCAAGTAGTTCAAAATGGGGGGGGGGGGTGCAGCTGCACTCAACTTCTTTCACCTATTATTAATATTGTTTCTTCCCCAGGCGTCCAAGCACTCCCCAACCCTGGTACGTTTGATCTGTCAAGAGCTGAACATCGACCCTGGTCAGATGATGGACTTTGAGCTCTGTTTGGCCGACACCCAGCCTGCTGTGAGTTGTGTGGTCCTGTGTGAAAAATAATGTTTGAAAGGGTGTTTGTCGTTTGTGGAAGAGGGGGGGGGGGGGGACACTTCTGTTCTTTTTCTCTGTCGTTTCTGTGTACCTTGATTTTTTCCATTCACCGAACAATCGCTATCCTGTTGATCAGATGTGCTTCTCTTCTGATGCTCCAATAACTTCTGTGTCACTCTGGTGTCATGTTTCCCCTACTACTCATAAATAACAGTGCTGTGTGTGGCAGCTTCAAACTTGGGTAGTTGGAGGGCACTACTGGTAGGTTCTTTTTGAAAATCTTTCCCTCTACAGTTTCTGCCCGTTTGTCTTACCTTTTCCCTGCACTAAATGACTGTTATTGCGTCTGTGTGCTTCTCGTTACTTGAACAAACAAGCAGTCAAACAAAACGGTTATGATGTCGATATGCTTCATTTTTTCTTAAAAAAAAACCCGCCTGGTATCTGGTTGGGGAGCTCTGGTGTGGTTTGCACCTACTTTCCTACCAAACATCTATCGTCCTTATTAATCTTCCTTTCACCCCGCGGGGCGGTGCTACTGACTGAAGTGTCTTTAGGCCATTCCCAAAGGGAGGGACATTAACATGTTGTTATGCACAATAGAATTGGGCTGATTCAACAATGTCAGGCTCATAATAACATAACTGTGCCTGAACTGCATCAGGGAACTACTGCTTTTTCTTTCCTCGTCCTTACTATCGTCATTTTCCTCTACTTCTTTTGTATGTTTGTCACTCTCTTGTGAATTGCTATTTCTGGAGTACCTGGATAGTCGAAGCAAACTTTGGGCTGTTGAAGCTAGAAAGGTGAGCTGAGTAAGCCTGATTCCCTGTATGGACTTATCTGTTGACATCCACCCCTTGACGCTCATATGACGTTATACAGTTGTAAGCGCCTTAAAAACACGACCAAAACTTTAAAGATCCTCCTTTTTTGTGTTTGTTACTCTCTTGTAACACCTCTAATCTTCGGCATTTATATGATCTAATTCTGTTGCAAGTGCCCTAAAAATCTTACTAAACCAATAAAACTTAAAGTAAAGTTAAATAAAACTAAAGTTAAACAAAACTAAAGTAAAGTTAGACTGACGTGTGTCGAGCTGAAGTGCCACAGTCTGTTTTGAGGCTGTCGGTGTAGAACATAAACCATCACTTTTATTTCCAGGACCAACTGACATGTCAAACTGCCATGTCTCTTTCTTTTCTCAGGCTCTCGGAGGAGCTTGTGAGGAATTCCTGTTTGCCCCCCGACTGGACAACCTTTTCAATGCCTTCACAGCCTACAGAGTAAGTTGGAGATGCTTGTGGGTTGTTGGAGGGTGCTTCTGGCTGGGCCTGTTTCATTGTCTGCCTGTCTCCCTGTCTGTCTCCCTGTCTGTCTCCCTGTCTGTCTGTCTGTCTGTCTGTCTGTCTGTCTGTCTGTCTGTCTGTCTGTCTCTAGCACCGAATGACATCTTAAGCAAAATGACCTCAGGGTGAAATAACTGGTACACAGACGTGTTTGAAATGAATGCATTATTACTTAAGTCTCAAAGACACATTGTTGTACCAGTGATAGGGCTTCCAACCTCAGATTTGGGCTAGGATTTGGAAAAAGGGAAGAAAAATGTTTTTCCAAATGTGGTGTAACTCGAACAGTGTCACCTCCTCAGGGTCTGCTGGATTCCCTGTCTGACAGCAGTCTGGAGACGGATACAAACATTCGGATGATCAGTCTGTTCGATAACGAAGAGGTGAGTGAATTGATTTAATTTCTTCACCAACAGCAATATCACAGACACTGGGATATCCTTATGAACTTTGACTTGGTTGAATTTGGAGAAAAAAAACATCCCCATTTCATTTTTAAAAATATAGTTATTTATTTTATTTCTATTAATATCATAGATTGTAAAGCGCGTAGAACTTGCTGTTTAGCGGGAATTTGTGTGATACAAATATTTTGGTACGCCATCCTCTTTTCTGTACATCTGACACCTTCTTCTCACACTCAGGTGGGTTCCCAGAGTGCCCAGGGCGCGGGCTCTACATTCCAAGAACTGGTGATGCGACGGGTCAGTACGAGCCCGGCGCGACCGACGGCCTTTGAGGAGTCGATCGCTCACTCCTACATGGTCAGTGCTGACCAGGCCCACGGATGTCACCCTAACTACTCGTAAGTGACTAAATCATCTGCCGCTAGTTACAACCCGATTCCCCAGGCGTGCCAACCTTTCTGATTTTGTCAGGAATTTCCCCAAATCAAATGTGCTGCTCCCGACTTCCCGATAACTGTCTTGATTTCCTTGATTTTGGAGCCTCGCTATATTATTATAATATCACAATTCAGGGGTGCCACTTTTCCGCTTTTTTCCGGTATTTTGATCCTGTTCCATTATTCCGTTATTGAGATCGAGATAGAATCTATAGTTGGAAAAAAACCCAAAAAACCCTCACACATGTTAAGTACATCTAATCTATTTTTCTTTAAATGTTCATCATTTCTTTCTATGCACACCCATTGTTTTTGTTTGTTTGTCATTTCTCTCTATGTACACTAGTGGTGGGCCAAGAATCGATTCCAGAACCGATTCCTGCGATTATTGCTTCTGAGAAAAAGAACCGATCCCTTTTTCGTAAACTAACGATTCTCAATTACTCTTTTTTGATCTTATTTTTTCTTCAAAGAATGTATTTTTGAAAAAAAAAATGTTGGTGCTTTGCTATGTTCTGAAATCGAGGTTATCCTGAATCTTGAAGACTTAAGAAAGAGTAGTCGGGATGCAAAGTCATTGTCAAAGATTATATCGATCTAGTATACAGTGTCAAAATGTATTCGTTGCTTTCGCCTTTTTCTCATTCATCTGTTGTTGTATTGAAATTATACTTCCTTGCCTTTTCTTTCAATTCAAAATCTAAAACTGTAACGTCTGCCCACGAGGCTCTATATTATAGACTCTCATTTCTCGGTGTAGGTCAGTGTTGGTCTCTGACTTCATATTGTAGAGATTGGGTGGGGTAATGCCTGGGGTAACGCCCTCCCACCCCAAGTAATCAAAGGGATCGGACTAATTGTTACTCGCCGGATGTAATTGCTGGGGTCGGACTACTCGTTACTCGCCGTAAGTAGTCATAGGTATTGCGACTCGGCGGAAATAATTGCTGGGGTCGGACTAATTGCTACTCGCCGGAAATAATTGCAGGTGTCGGACTAATCGTTACTCGCTGGGAGTAATTGCAAGGGTCGGACTAATTGCTACTCGCCGGAGGTCATTGCAGGGGTCGGGCTAACTGCTAGTCGCTGCATATACAATCATAATACTGGCTACGGGTCGAAACCACTGGAAGAAATCATCCAGCCACTGGAAGAAATCACATCACTGGCTATAAAGAAAGTAATTGGGTTCGGTTCGGAACCGATTCCTACGATTCCTAGCCTTTAATATTCGGGAATCTACGGTTACCGAAAAAAACAGGAATCGCCCACCTCTAATGTACACCCTTTGGGTTTCAAATTGATATTCATATGTTAGCGAGACCGTGGCGCGTGGATTTTCAGCTATTTAAAAAAAAGTTGAGTTGCATCCCTGACTCCCTGACAATTATCTGCGTGAAAATGACAAATGAAATCGACGATACCGGAACGATATATATATATATGTAAAAAAAAGTAAATATTACTTGTATTAAAATAAATATGAATAAGTTGAGTGTGACAGGAATATGACCTGGCACGCAGCGTGCCGCATTGATTTTCCATATTTTGCATTTTCAAAAGTTGGCAGGCCTGTATTCCCCTTACTTTCCCTACAGTTGTCGTTGTAGGGATGGTGTAGGGGGCTTTCGTGGTCTAGAAATTAAGGTGTTCACCTCTCGTTCAATAAGTCCTGAGTTCGAATCCAGATAGTGGCGAAAAATTTTCTTCTGTCTAAGTTTCTCCTTTCACAACGTTTCCTGCTCTCTAACAATGTTCTGTCATCTGCTTTCATCTCCACTTTCTGCCCCCACCCCCTCACCTCCTGTGCCCCCTCCTCTGGGCTTATACAGCCTTTTTACTGCTACTCCTTGGCTCCTTTTTACAGCTGTCTTTCAGCCACACCCCTAATCTTATGGTAGGAAAGATCTACACCTAGCCTTCTTTGACAATGGCAAAAAATCTTGGAGGTCTGGTGTGCAAGTTGCGCACGTAAAAAATCCCTTGGTGGTCCAAAATTGATAAGAGTAGGCTTCTGCCTACCTACTGAAGACATTAAATGTGTCCTGCATGCTCATATGACCTTATGCAGTTTCGAGCGCTGTAAAACACTTACCGAAAAAAATAAAAAAGGAAGGGTGATGATCTCAAAGTTGCTTACTCAAGAAAAGCTTGTTTTCCCAGGGACAATGGAGAACCTTCCCTGATTTTGTCTTTTTTGCTTTCGTTTTATAATATTTATTTTTTCTACTTTAATTCCATTATTTTTCTATCTATGGTCATGAACATCTTTCCAGGATGTAGATTTTTATGTTCTAGGGTCTGATGTTAGAGGAGTCTTTTCTGAATCTCAGAACTTTTGCGTTGAGTAGCATAAATTTGTTTTGAAAAGTGGTTGTAATTTTTTTGAAAAGGTTTGTTGTACAATAATCTCTTCGATGACACTTAGTGCCTTTTCTCTTCCACATGTGATTTTTTTCTGCTTTTTTCCCCGCTATGGAATATGTTACTTTTTTTATCCTTGTAGTAATGTTTGCTGCCTTGAAGTACTACGACTTTTTTGTCGAAAGAATATTACCTTTGTCTCTTTTATTCAGTGCTTCAAATCTTATGGATTAAAAAAAATTAAAATCAGTGATGTTTTAGGTGTAGATGAAGAAATAAGTTGAAGCAAAATGAAGATGTGGTGGAAAATAGATGTTATGGGTTATTGGCAATCTCTTCAAACAGGCCCTCATATACCTTTTTTTAACCTTCTAAAAGCCCCAATTTCAATTTCTTCGTAGGCCTTGCCCCCTGAACCCCTATTGGTACGTTGTAGCCTACCTGGACCTTGTTGAAAATTTCCCTTCAATTTTCTACTCTGTTCGGAGCACTGTTTGTGGGAAGTGATGTGGTGAAATGAATGCTTTAAAAAGTTTTAAATCATCTGGGTTTTCTCTTTCAGGGAGAAACATGAGAGCAACCACCAGCCTTGCTTCCATAAGGTTTGTGAGGCCATTTGAAGGTCATTTTCTTTCTTGTTTTTAATTGACACATTTTGTTCCAACTTTGAGAGGGTCCTGGGCATGGTGAAGAAGGAAGGTTCTTGAAGCTTAACTGTGGTGTGCAAGCAGGATGTCTTGGAAATGCCACTGTCTTGAATTTGAATCTTAAAATATGTCACGACATGGTGGAATCAGGCGCTCGACAGTTTTTAGGCATTTGAAGTCATTGATATCATCTTGAAACTTGTTTATTTGTGTTTCATTCACTGAAAAAAGTATCCATCTATCTTGAATAGAAGTCAAGATATTTGCGATTGAAGGAGGAGGGGTCATTTGGTTTCAGTGGTAAAGTTAGCGAGAAAATGGTCGCGAAAGTTTGACAATTTCAATAGCTTGAGAGTCCTTGAAAACGATAAAATTACATATTTTGTGCATTTAATCAACGTTTTTCTGTGAATTTCACATGGAAATGTGTTTTTATATGGACACGAAAGGTGTTGATCCGAAAAATGAAAATTTGATAAAAATTGTCAAAATGGTAGAAAAGTGCCTGTTTCTTCAATTTCATTATTTTGACGAGCGCCTGATTTCACCATGATGCCTCACAAATGGTGTTAGCAGAACAGTTTTCAGAGAAAAATGGGTACTGAAGTGTTGTGTGCAGTTTTGGAACTTAAGGCAAAGCTGAAATGGAATCAAGCATTTTTTTCTGATAACTTGTTACTTGTTGATATTTAATTTCCTTTAGAAAAAATTTGTTGTGAGTATTCGTGATGAGCATGCAACAATTTACTTTCCAAAATTCCTGTTCTGAGCTCTCTTTTTATCAGCTTATTGGATGGTTGTAAAATGATTGTGATGGTTGTGAAATGATTGTGACGGTTGTAAAATGATTGTGATGGTTGTGAAATGATTGTGATGGTTGTGAAAATTACGTTTTTGTTCTGGTGCTAACTATGTTGCCCTTGTACCAAATGACTGTGTGGTTGTTTCTGTCTTCATTACTTCTCTTTTATTTAAACAAATAAGTAGACATTTTCAATGTATGGAAGTGGGCTGTTGGAAAGTACGAATGGTAGGTCCCACTTCTTGCCATTCCCTCTGTCTTTTCTCTCTCCCGGGGTGGTGCTACTAACTGGTGTCCCAAAGAGTGAACATTAATATTATGTTCTTATGCTCAGTAGAAGTGTAAATGGGCTGATTCATCAATGTCATGCTCATAACTATGCCTGAACTGCATATGGGGAACTGCTGTTTTGTCTAAATCCTAATCCTTACTGTCATTTTTCCTCTACTTCCTTTGTATGTTTGTCACTCTCTTGTGACACAATATTTCCGGGGTGCCTTGATAGTCGAAGCCGATTTTGTGCTGTTGAAGCTGGAGAGGTAAGCTGAGTAAGCCTGATTCCCTGTATGGACTTCTCTATTAACATCCACCTCTTTGCACTCATATGACCTTATGCAGTTTCCAGTGCCGTATGAACTCTACTAAAACTAAAATGCTCTCTCTCTCTCTCTCTCTCTCTCTCTCTCTCTCTCTCTCTCTCTCTCTCTGTCTCTCTCTCTCTCTCTCTCTCTCTCTCTCTCTCTCTTTGTTTGTTTGTCTGTTTGTTTGTTTGTCTTTCCTTTCCCCTCTTCTAAATGGCCATTATTGTTCACATAGTCTCTCTCTTTTCAAAGTCAGTGCATGAACACTTTCTGCATTCCCTGCGTGTCTTTTTTACCCTGAACTGAATGTCCTTTATTTTGTCGATGTGCTTATCTTTACTCAAATGTAGTATTAGCTTTCCTTTTATACATTGTTTTTTCCCCCCTCAACCCTTTAGGGCATAGTGATCAAGTTCAACGCCAACCAGCGCTACGCAACCACCAGCGTCACCGCCACCATCCTGAGGGAGGTCGCGCGGAAAGCAGAAGTGCCTCTACAGGTCAGTGTTTTGTCCCTTTACAGTTAAATGTGCCGCGTGTCTTTGTACGAACCTGGCTGGGTTCTTTGAGAAAAAAAGGCCCATAAGCTGGGATGTTAGTTTGTATTGAGTTGTTCTATATATTATATATGTCTTTATAGAATCTTGTGGGCGGTTGGAGGATGCCTCTAGTAAAGTGTAGAATATTAACAGTCATTCAGTCAGTTAAAACAAACAACGTTCTGGCCTTGTAAATGAACTCGCCCCACTGTTAGATGATGTTAGAGAAAGCCACTGGTACTTCTTTTTTCTTTCACTCACTCATTGTGTTTCAGTGTTTGTCAGTCTTTTTCTGCTCTCTAGATGACTGTTATTGTCTCCGTGTGCTTCTCTCTACTCAAACAAACAAGCAATCGGAAAATTATTTTACTACGTATACCAGCAGAAGCATCAAAACAAAAACAATATTTATGGCTTGAAGATAAAACCCTTTTATATAATGTAAAAGTTTGCGTCTCTGGTGAAAGACGTTACTGTGTCGATGAGCTTCTTTTGCTTGATTAAAAGACGTTTATTTTGTCAATGGGATTCTCCTTACTCAAACTACAAGACGCTCATTTTGTTGATTTGTTTCGTTTTACTCAAGTTTAATCCTTTGAGCCCTGGGTTTCTAATCCTAATTTTACCCAAATCTTAGCCTTCTGAGCTTCCAGCTTCGTGGTGAAAAAAAACCAACAACTCAGTAAATTGGTACAGAATGTGATCAAAACATGAATGAAAGGGTGCCGACATGTCAGTATCCCATAATAGCATTTTGACAAAACCAAGCATTCTAATTGATAGACACACAATTAATCCCTTTTTCTGCTTGATAATTCAGAGCTCTTACCTCACACTGGCTGACTGGTGCTATGGATTATTGCCGGCGAAGAGTGGTTGGCGGGTGCTCTGGGGTGGTTTGCTTCTTCTTTCCTATGAAACATCTATCGTCTTTCTCTCCCCTTTTTAAAAAAAATGTTTATTACTCTCTTGTAACACCTCTAATCTTCAGGCTGTCATATGACCTTATGCAGTTGCGAGCGCCGTAAAACCTGTACTGAAACTGAACTAGAAGAGCGCCACCAGTGTACCGGTGTACCGGTGTACCGGTGTACCGGTGTACCAGTGTACCGGTGTACCAGTGTACCAGTGTACCAGTGTACCAGTGTACCAGTGTACCGGTGCTACGGGCTCAAAGGGTTAAAGACTGACATTGTGTTGATGTGTTTCTCTTTGGCGGGTGCTCTGGTGTGCAGGGATACTGTTTTTCCGTTATCCCCCCCCCCCCCCCCCCCCCCAACCCGTTATTTTGGGCATCGTCCGTTCTTAAATCCATTTTCCACTCATCGGATTCATTCTCAGTTAATCACCCCCCCAAAAAAATGGTTGTGCAGGAAGCCGATTTTCCATTTTGTTCCACATACGGATGGAGGGGTACGAGGATCCATATTTTTAATCAATCAAAGTACACTTGCTGAATCAAAGTGCATATGATCAACCGTGTAGCAAGGTTTACTCAACTAGTCCAAATGCCCAAAGAGAAAATTAGAGACACAGACACAGCTTTATATAGACCCCAGACCCTTTGTTCCCAGAAGCCCTGAATCTCAAGACAATGTGAGAACTGCTCATGGAGTGTTTACACTGAAAGGGAATCAACTGGTAATATGATGTACAAACAACTGTGGTGAATTATGGATTATGTCCCATATCATTACAAACCGGATGTTTAGGTCCGATTTCAAGTGTTGGCCCGGCCTAGCCTTGCGCACTCAGTCTTGAAAAAAATTGTCTGTTATTTTTACAAAAGTCAAGTGGCATCCTTGGATGTGGTTTGCTTCTTCTTTCCTACCAAACATCTGTCATCTTTATCTCACGTCCTTTTTTAATGTTTGTTACTCTCTTTTAACACCTGTAATCTTCATCATTTGTATGATCTAATTGTGTTGCAAGTGCTGTAAAACACTTACTAAAACAAAACAAAAAACTTTCCTCAGGACTTTGTGGTGCGCAATGACTCCCCCTGTGGCTCCACCATTGGCCCCATCATGTCGGCCAAGCTGGGTATGCAGACCATCGACGTGGGCGCAGCGCAGTTTGCCATGCATTCCATCCGCGAGATGGGGGCCACTGACGATGTGCTGTACGCCATCAAGCTGTATGAGGTATGACGAAGGCTAGACAGACCCTGATGAACTCATGTGTGCTCATCTCTGTCTTTGTGCTCAGATGCTATATCCCTCCCAGCCCGGGTTGGCTCCAACGAGCAGAGGGGAAGCTCGCTGCCTAAGTGGTGTAATTTGTGTCAATAGGGGCGAACAACTTCTACACTTACATTTACGCAGGGTTCCCACTCAACCCGAAAAGCTGTAAAAAGCCAGGAATTTCCCGGTCAGGAAAACTCCATGAAAATGAATGAATACGAAAATATATGGGAGAAAGCCTGAAAATGAAAGGGCTGTCCATGATTATTAATTTGGTGGAATCTTGAAGGTTTTTAAAATTTCAAAAAAATTATCAATTTTACTGAAAAAAGATCACAACGCCCCATCCCCGATTCCAATTTTGAAAGATTTATTTGTCCTTTGGCAATCCCAAAGCATCCCCACCTTCCTGGCGTATAAGTTAGATTTAGGAAATGTCAGATCCTGACTGTCTACGTCACTATATCACGCGCAGCTAACTTTATCCATACCTGCCAACATTGCCTAGGCCAAAATCTGTAGTTGACGCAAATTTTTGTCCAAAAATCTGTAGTTGACCTAAAAAATCTGTAGTTAGGCTATATTAATATTACCACTTGTCGCATATTTAATTTGGGACCCTTATCAATATTTTGACCCACATCAAATATGCATAAATGTATTTGCGACTTCAAACAAATGTAGAAAATGACAAAGGACAAAAAAATATGACAAATATGAAAACTACCGGAGGCATTTACCCTATAGCAGTTGGTGCCGTTCCTGTCCTATTCATATGTGCACGCACACACAAATGAAACCAACCCCCCCCCAAAAAACCAAACCCAGAAGAGAAGAAGAAAAGATGAAGAAAAGGTGGGCCTTGGATGACTTAGCCTTTGAAGAGTTTACAAGGTAAGAGTATGACGGATCCCGAGTCCACCCAAGGCCTGCACCAATGGACGTTTTGCAGAAAGTTCTAGATCTTGTAGTAATCAAAATTTAGAATACTAAAATTTGTTTCCAAGTTCAGTTTTTGTCCCTTAGTGTTGCCTTCAACTGCCCCCCCTTCTCCCCATAGTGTATCTTTGAAAAATTCAATAATCTCCCCATTCCGGAGTCCTATACTTCGCAGCGCTCAGACTTTGAATGAACTTTGGTGACCCCTACAATTGCCGGTGCTCACAATGTGATGGAACGCGCAGGTTCATTGACCGGTCACAATGGCGAGCCCGACAAAACGCTTGTATAACTATAACTTTCTTTTCTTTTCTTTTTCACAAGTTTTGACCTTTCATGGAACCATAATATAAAAAAATTATTTTAAAACTATCAACAAAAACCATCCTATCCTCTCCCCCCTGTCCAGAAAAAAAAAGAATTTTGATGAGCACTATGGCAGTCCTGAGCCTGCAGCCATCTTCAGTTACAGACCTGCTGCTCATCCTGAGTTTGTAGGGACATCCCGATTTTTTTCCCCAAATCTCAAGCATCCCGATTTTCCTGATTAAGATCACTTGTATCCCGATTTTTTGTCCCAGTCTGCCGTTTTGCCGGATTTTTCTAAACTCTGCAATGAATGGTTTCCAGGAATAAATAAGCTTCGTTGCAGGAGAAAAATGAGTGAAGGCACATTTGCGGGAACTGTTTCCCCTGCAAGCGACTTTGTTTAACCCATGCTTGCTCATTTATGTGTTCGTTGAATCCGAGTTATGAGTTATTTTTATTGATTTCAATTAAGGTAGTGTCTACGTTCTCTAACGTTAGAGAAGTATAAAAGCTGTCTACGTTTGCTAACGTTCAGTGCTTCCAATTTTCCTTTTTAAAAAAAAAAAATTCCTCCAGACTTTATCTCTGCCGATCCGATGCCTGCCACTTCATTGATATCCGCCCCAATCCCTATTTTTCCGACTTTCTCACTTTTGTTGTTGTAGAAAACTAGATTTCTACTTCTTGATCTATGTTGTTGTCTTTCCTGAAACAGTACTGTATATATTAAGCTTAAACTACCTCTGGTCGTTGGACGTTCTGATAGCCGAATGGTCAGCGTGTCTGTGCTTGAAGTGACACAATTACTTTATGAGTGTGGGTTCGAATCCCGGTCCTGGAAGGGTTTTTTGGGTTGGTTTTTTTTTTTTCATTTTTCTTCTTCTTCTCCTCTTAAGGATAGGCCTACTTTTCCTTTTACCATTCTATGCCTGGTTCAAGTACATTTTCAACAGTGGGTTTCCTTGGTCTGTGAGTCTAATTTTTAAAATTTATTTTAGAATCAGAGAGGCCAAATCTTAGCTCTTCAATTGCAAATTTTCTTTATGCGGGGCCCTCCTGCGGCCCCCAGACCCCTGCCAATTGTTCCTCCTGCCAATTATTATTCGTCCTGGTTGGGGGTCCGGGGGAAAATTGTTGGTCAGTAAGGAGAAGGAGAGGAAAAGAAAACAACTCCAAAAAAAAATAATTCCGGGACTGGGATTCCATGCCACACTTGGAAGCACTGAGCATTTAAAAAATGGGTAATTCACTTTCTTACGTTGAATCTGAGTTTTCGTTGAATCTGAAATAATTATATCTTGAGTTCCACTGTGTTTATTGTGTTTTGCTCTTTTTTGTGTAACTGATTTCTTAAACATTTTTTATTCTCACAAAAAATGGCCCTCTGATTTATGTAAGTTTTGTATCATGTATAGTGCTTGTTGACTCCTGATTTTTCACTGAGGACTCGCAGATCTACCAGGGAAATGATTTTAGAACAAAATAAAAGAATTGACTTATTTCTTCCTGCTTCATGGCTAGAGCTTAGGGCCATCATATTATAATATGAACATTCTATCACTGTCATCCTAAATTTAATTGTGTGTTTACTTTGTCTCCCCAGGGATTTTTTAAACACTACCCAGCTGTCCATGAGTCTCTGAAGTTCAACTGAGCCGGCCCGATTTAGCAGAGATGGAGAGATAGAAAGAGAGATGGAGAGATGGAGAGATAGAAAGAGAGATGGAGAGATAGAAAGAGAGATGAAGAGATAGAAAGAGAGATGAAGAGATAGAAAGAGAGATGAAGAGATGGAGAGATAGAAAGAGAGATGGAGAGATAGAAAGAGAGATGAAGAGATGGAGAGATAGAAAGAGAGATGGAGAGGAGAGCAAGAGCGAGCTAGAGATTATTATCAGAAATTAATTGTTGTATCATGTTTGTTACTTCTCTTTTTCAAATTTGAAACAAACGTCCTCAAAAGTGGTGGTAGTGACATTTTAAGAAAAAGTGCAAGTCAACGTATGTGTAGATCTATTTGGTGGCATATCACCACATATTCGGTGTTTTGTTTTATTGTGGTAACAAAGTATTTTCTATTGTAGATGTGAGATTGCCAAACGTCATAAGTGGACTTCTTTACTTCTTATTCTGTACTTTTGCTTCTTTAGCATCATTTCTAATGTGTTTAATGTTTAGTACTGTGTGGAGAAATAAGTTATAAACTTATGATGAACTACATGAAGTGTTTGTGCTGTAGATCACAGTCTCAGGGGAATGCTCTTATCCTCTTGTATGTCCTCACAGCTAAGCTTTTTTTCTTCTTTTTTATTGTGTGTAATTTTTATTTTAAACTTTTATCCAGATATGAGAACTGGGAATAAGCTTTTTATTCAAGTGAGATCATAATTCCTTTATAAAGAAAACTTTATGCAGATTGTTAGATAGAATTTGGCCTTTGTGCTAATAAGGTACATAGAGCTTTCAGAATACTTTTTTGTATGCTAAGTGATGGAGATACTGCCCTTTAATAGAGCAGGGAATTCTCATGAACTGTTTGCTATTGCATTCTGCCATGAGGGTGTAATATATACATTTTTGTGGTCATGATTCTTTTACATCATAAAAGGGTAAAAATATAGATTTCGACCCCTTTTAAAAAAAATAAGTTAAAAGTGTCTTTTGTGCATGCCATCACAGTGCCCTTAATGTGGCCTCACAAAGAGTGGAGACCCCAGATATGCACAATTGGTCAAGTATATTCTGAACTGGGGATCAAATTTACTTTTGCCCATGAAGGCAGTGGTACATTTCAGTGTCTGCTTCAGTTTAAAAAAATTAGATTGAGATGTTTTTGCACTTGGTAGTGTTAGTTGTTTTAATATGTACTTTTAATTGTGTTTTTAGATGTGATAGGTCTAGGTGTCAAATGTGAAACCACTATATCTATACAGTAGAACATGACTATAGCGGCACCTGCTACAGCAGGACCTTATCGGAATCCTACTTTTTTTCCCCACGTTAACCAATTACGTATGCTTGAGTTTAACGGTGCAAGGTAATGCCCGAAATTGGATCCAGCGGGAGAGAATGAGCGAGTTCTAGCTGGGGGGGAAGGGGGTTGAGGGTGGGGGCTGTAGGTGAGCTCCAAACAGGCAGTCAGCGGTGCAGCGTTGTGATTGGCCTGTCCAGTGATGAGTGAGATGGGGCAGGCGGCAGAGAGAGATGGTGCGGAGAGACGCGTTACTTGAGCTACTCTAAAAAATGATGTGGCCTAGACTAGGCCAAAAAGTAAAAGAAGAGGATAGCGTGTAGTGTGTGATTTTTCGGTAATTCCCCTTTGCAAAATCCTGCTAGAGTCATGTTCTACTGTATAAATAACTGCCAAATGGATCGCTCATCTGCTGAGAAATTAAGTGAACTTTACTGCTGTATTGTGATCATTCTATGACTGCCATCACTGACCTTGATACGCTAAGGTGAATAACTCACAGCTCACAGCTGTCCGTTTGAGTTTTAGCACAATAGAGGACATCACATGTTAACGACAATTTGAGCAAGACAGACTGACAGGAAAAAGAGGGAAAGAAAAAAAGTGGGACATGTACCAGTGGTGCGGACCAAATACCTCCAAATGTTCTGTGTCTGTGAGAATACTGGTGAACACATATATGAGAGGCAGTGTGGTGAAATTGGACTCTTGTCAAAATAATCAAAGTGAATGTATTGGCATTTTTTGGCAGGTCTGAATTTTTATCTAATTTTTTTTTTTTGACTGAACTCCTTTCATTCCCATTAAAGAACACATTTCTGCGTGAATTTTACTGAAAAACGTTGATTAAAGGCACAAAACTTGTAAATTTTCAGTTTCCACGGACTCTCACGCTAAGGAAATAATTAATTTTTGGCAGCCATTTTCTCACTGGTTTTACCTCTGAAACCAGGTGACCTCGACCTCCTTCATTCACAAATATCTTTACCCGTATTCTAGATAAATGGATATTTTTTAAAATCCAAAGCAAGACAAATGAACAAGCTTTAATACGATACCAATAACTCTACATGCACAAAAGAGAGCCTGCTTCCTCCGCGTCGTGACACAAGTTATATCTTCAGAGAGAGGATACTTCACTTGGCTTATTTATGTGCTGTTGGTTGATTTATGTTGGGCTAGTTTCATAATTGGAGAAAATGAGACAATCTGTGGTTCAGTGGTTAGGCTTTTCCCACTATTGCATGCAGAAACCGAATTTGATTTCTGAGTGGAAAAGTAGGCCACACTTTTTATTTAAAAATCATTTGATCAAGTATATCTATCTGTCTACAGTATAGTTGTATCTCACTTCATTGGGATTGGCACTTTAGAACTTCCCGCCGCCAAAATTGTCTAAATTGTGTTGATAAGGATGTAAAACTACTATGTCATGCACATTACTTTTCACCATCTTCTTTCAGCCATTGATTGTGACTCATTTGAAAAGCTGTGTTTGATGCGAGCTGATAATAAAGATATTATTTCTTTTAAACATTGTTCTTGTTCTTATTACTTTCCTTAAGTCCATAACATGGATTTCTTGGACATGGGTTGTTTGCAAAGTTTTCATGGTTTTTCAATCCCTTGGATTTATGATTGCTTCAATCTTTTTTTTTCACTGTTTACCTTTTGCTTCGTCTTTCAGGCAGCCAACAGTAAGATCTTATTTTGAATATGGGTGGTAGGCAAGTGTAAATATATTGTTATGGAATGGTTAGGCTCTCAGATTCTCAATCATAAGGTCGTGGGTTCGAAACCTGGTAAGGAGTCTGACAGTGTGACACTCAGTGTGTCCTTAGGAAAGGCACTTTACATAAATTTTCCTCACTTTACTCAGGTGGGAATGGGCTATAGACAACAAAAGATCTTGTCAGTTTTTCGTGTTTGAGTGCTTAATCGGCTGTTTGCACTGTATGCTTCCTGTGAAGCTGAGAACGTCTGTGAGTATTCTTGGGTCTATACTGTAATAATAGATATAAAGCACATAGAGCATGCAGTCAAGCATATGTGCGATATATAAATGCAATTAGAATAATAATAATAACAATTATTATTCAGGTGTCTTTGGCAGGTCATTCCTATTTCTTTACTGTGTCTGTGATTTTTAGGACTGCCTGTCTAGTCTAGACCAGCATATGTGGTGTAATGGGTAAGTCTTTCCACAGTTGCAGGCAGCAGACGTGAATTTGATTCCTGAGTGAGGAAGTTATTTATTTCAATCAACAGGGTTCCCACTCAACAAAGAAAAAGCTTCAAGACAAAACTACAACGGAGTCTATTCAGCTCTCCAGAGACTAGATCTAGCATCTGTAATGAACTTCAAAGTGGATTTTGTTGTTGTTGTATTTTATGATGAGAAGGCTTATCATGTAACACAAAAACGAAACAAACTGCTGGATTTAGTGTTCTGACTTTCAGTCAAGAAAATTTAGACATTTTATTACTGAATATTTTTTCTGAGTAGGCTACAACAAAAAAATGTACACTCCTCATAGATATTGCAAAATACGATGGAATGCTGACGAAATCTGAATTAATTCTACAAAAGCGTACATCATAACACATAATTTACAAAAACGAAAAGAAAGTTTACAAAAAATTCCTGACTTGTTTACCGTACTATTATAAAGCACTGTGGACGGAAGCCATAGGAAAAGATAAAATATGTTAAGTTTAAGGACCGGCAAGACATGTTTGAGTAATAGTTACCACCCCCCTTTCCCAACTCCTTATAAATGAATATTAAAACATACAGGATAATAAAAAAAGTAATGCTAATTACCATTTTACACACAAATATAAAACAAACACCACCCTTCCCTCCCCGTATTCCTCCATTATAAACATATAAATACAAAAACAATTATAATAGAAATTACTACCAACAATCAATTGACAAATATTAAAGAAAAAAACCACTTCCGATTTCATCTCTTTTCCTTTTCCCCCGCACATAGAAAAATAAATCTTTTTAAACTAGCTACCCTTCCAGGAAATCAAAAGGGCATCTTTATCACAATCTCTAGGTGGGGTATGAAATGTTTAATCTTTTACAAAATGTGAAGGCAATTATGCTTCTGGATGCTACTATAAAGGAATCAGGAGAGCTTTGGAAAGTGTCATGGCTGACACAAAAAAATATGGCAATGTCTGCATCAGGCTAATAATGGAATCACTGGCAAATGCTTTGTATTTCAACCATACGGCTCGACATCGCTGCAAAGGGACCAGTCTTAGAAAAAGTGCAAAGGTAAACAAAGAAGGGTATTGCCTACTGTAATCAATAGTGACATTGAGAAGAACTTTTGTTTAAAAAAAAACAAACAACAGAGAGACTGAGATTTTCATTTCTAATTCTTATTTCACAAAGCAACCTTAACGAGTTAAAAAAGTTGCTATATACGTACCTTGTGAAAATTCCATTATCAAGAGTGTCTCAGGTCAGTATTGAAAGGGTAGATAACCTACTGATGCGTTTATTGTCCATTAATGACTTGAGTAAATCAACAATGTAAACACTGCCTGCTCAGCAATTTATATGGATCTTCGCTCATTAAAAAAACAGGGTTCATGTTTTTCAGCTCTATTAGTACCACTTGGCAGACCATTACCGAACATGTTTTGTTTCAGTCGAAAATACCTTCAAAGACTGAGCTTGCATATACAAAATACAGACAGGGGTTTTTCACAGTTATTTTGAACAAAGCACTTTCGGTCAAAAGGCAGTTGCATTTTCCAGTGACATTGTGTGTGAGACAGGGTTAAACGTAAGCACCTACATCAAAGTAACACAACAGAAGAACAAGAAAGCACAATATAGCTATGTCTCTTTTCTTCCATTATCCATTGATGTGTCTAAACTCATTCTGGTTTAATGTCTTTATGTGAAATTTTGCTACTAACGAAAAGTTTCAAAATAAAAGGAGCAGCCTGGCATATTCATTTTTGCAGTTGTGAGCCATATTCTTTTATATACACACCTCCTCCCCCTTCCTCCATCAAATTTAGAAAAAAATATGAATGTAAAATAAAAAGATTTAAAAAAAAAATACAGGCAGCAAATATTAAGTACGTATCCCATCTGTTTCCCTGCATCACAGACTAATATAAAATTGCAGGGTACAGGAAACTGTATTGCTGTGAAGGATGTCCTCATGTAGAACACAAAGAACACATCCAAAAGAGAACACACCTCAAAATTCGTTCCAGAGAATGCACATTTTATAGAGCGCACACACACACACACACACACACACACACACTACAAAATACATACCAGAAAACTTGTGCATAAAAAAATCCCACACACATCTGAGAACATACATACTAGTTTCACTTTACAGCACCTAGGTTCAAGCTATAGTTTCTATATGACTTATAGTGTAACAGCAAAAAACCCACAGTATTCCAGGGCAGGTTACAACATTTGTATTGTGAGAATCAAGAGTGAGCATAAGATAGCAGAAGACTGTTGAACTCCATCTCCCCAGTCACTGGAGATAGTAAACATTATTCCATGTTTAAATTTAGTTGTCCATACTTGCAGCCCAACAACTATTACTGCAATTGCAGTAAATTATTTGACTTCAGCACAAATATTACATCTTGGAATATCTTATTCTTATTTATGTCACAAGACATGAATCTTTCAAACTACAATAAACTCTGCAAGAGACAGACATTTTTAAAATAATAATTTTAAAAAAGGACCTACATACTCACTTCTATAATTGGGAAAATTGCAGCTTATAAAAGTAAAAGATGTTTTTGTCCTCACACAGAGAGGCACAAGGTGCCTAAACAAGGAGAAATCAAATTAAGGTGAAAAAACTTTCAATTTCAAACGCTGCAACTTTATCTCATATATAATCTGTTTTTTTAAAAATATGCTGAATCTGTTTGATGACCCAATAAAAGGTCAGTGAGGTAAAAATAAACGTGACTCCCCTATTCAGAACTGACTTGACCTTGTACGCAGATCCAAGGTCATGGCGGGGGACACTGTGGGGTTGGTACTATGTTGTCCAAGAATACAGAGAACAGCTGGCTGTGATCGTCAATGTATGCAAAGACATGGGGTAAGGAGAGGGGAGTTATACTTTACTTTTACTCTCTTTGCTTAGAGAGTCTCAAGTCGAGAGTGCACAGCGGAAGCCACAATGTCCAAGCTGTCTTTGTCTAGCTCTCTGAGTAGACTGAGAACTGCCTGTAGAATGTTCGAGTTCTGGAAGAGAAAAAGGAAAAGGCGTCTGGCACACAAACTAACCAGGATTTTCACTACCCCAATCTTTACATTACTTTTTTTTTTTAAACCGAGGGAGAGAAAGTTGTTTATCATCTCAGTCAAACGAAAAAAAAAAAAAGAGTAATTCTGCTGAATCTGCTTCAGAGTAGGTAAAACCCTTTGGATTTTCTGATTTTTCAAATGACAGAGACATTATATCTCACAGCGGAGAATCTAAAAATAATGAAGCATCAAACTTGACATAATCAAGGCTGAAGTGACTAAATATCGACCCAAAATCGCCTTAGGAAGGCCAAGTTTTTTGTTTAAAGTTTTGTACAGATGAAGTGTGCGGAAAGGAATTATAATTTTAAAAGATGTAGTGGAATAAAAAAAGTCTACCAATAAAAATCCATTATTAAAAGATTCAACTTTTCACTATACGAACAAGCACTTTTCTGTAGAACTGTTCATTAAATTTTTAGACAATTAGCGTTGCAGACATTATAAGGAAAAGTAGAGGAAGTTCTACATGTTTCTGGGTTCATCTTGAACATTCAAGGAATAAAGCCAGTCTCCAAAATTTAACTTATTACTATTATTAGATATTGTTAATTAAATCCTTCAGATAAATAATAGCCTTGCCGTCATCATCTGGAAAAGTACAAATGGTCGCTTTTAAGGACAAGCGGGCTAACCTAGATTCCGGGCGTTTCCAGAAATCCTTATCTACACCAAAAGTGGGCATTGCCCTACCTATAGGAGAAGCTTGGTTTCAATGATGCGTATATTTGTTTGGTTATAGATAAAACTCTCCTTGTCTTTTAAAGAAACTGAACAAGGGGCAAAAACTTTAACTTCGATTTTCTCAAAACAGCATTTTTCGGGATAGCCCCCTTGTGCTTAAAAGCGACCAAATATGGTCTTGGGTGCACCTTGAACATTCTTACAGAAAAACTAACTTTGGACTACAAGCACAGCTCTTACTCAATTATCTGAAAATGTTTATTCAAACCTTCAGATAATCTGCTCAGCAGTCATAGGCACATCAAACTCTCAGTATAATAATATAAGTATAACAATTACTATCACATTTGAAGCTATTCACCTAATCAGCATAGCAGGCACTATCAGAAAAAGTACAAGAAGGCCTGCATGGTTTTAAGAACATTTTTTGAGGCATCTGAAACAGAAACCACTTACCCTGGCTCTCGTTGTCTCAGCATTCACAGACTTACTCATGCTCACTGGTCGCTCTCTCGTACCCATGCCTAACTCCTTTCTCAGACGGCTGTGGAACAGAGTACAAAACAAAATAAAAAATTGACTCAACTGCCAGTTGCAACAGATTATCCAAGGGTTAAACAGTGTGAGGACACAGCATTCCATTTTACTGAGCAGGAAATCGAACTCAAAAGATTTTTGTTGCAAGCCCAACACCTTACTAGGACAACTGTGAATAAATAGTCTTATACAGAGCAGTTAACATGGAAGAAAGTCTTGTAGATCTCAAAATCAAACTTTTGAAGGATTGAAGACACTCATTATTTAATTTATGCTGGACAAATAATAGCTATCTATTGACTAATGCGTTTCCACAGCGTACAGACAGATTTGAGGTGGTCCAGTTTGACCTGTGTCCACAAAAGTAAGTTATTTTTTTATAGTAGTAAAGTATAATAATAATAATAATAATAATATTAATAATAATAACAATAATAATAAGAGCATTTGTATCCCGCCTTTCCCCACAACATGGGCCCAAGGCATACATACGAGATTAAAAACACATTCAAACTAACATCATACAAATTCATTATGTGCGCATATTTTGACAGCAACATTCTTTCACACAATAAAAAACGCTCATACAAAAAGGCAAGGTACTATCCATTAATTAAAGTAATTCTTAAATAAATGTGTTTTGAGTCTCCTTTTGAAGGTATCAAGTTTTATTTCGGTCCTCAAATCACGAGGGAGACTTTCAAACTGTTGGCCCAGAAAAAGAAAAAGCACAAAACATCAGCAATACGCATTCACATTTCAACCTTTTTGTTTAAATTTGAGATAAAATCATTTTCAAGAAATATTACAGTAAAATTGTTTAAATCTTACATGCCAAATTCTATTTCATATCTTTTTAAAAAAGTTCCTAATAATGTGAATTTTCAGAATTTTATTCATCAGAGCATAGAGTAAAGTGAACATCAAGTCTGTGAGAGGGAATTCGGTGAAAAAATGAATGAGGTCTTCATTCCTTAACTTACTTGTATTCCTCCCAGTCAATAGCTGGCTTTTTGTCTGTAGCTGCACTGCCCGATGCTGCTTCACCCTTACTCGTCTTGGCACTTTCTTCTTTGGCAACAGAGGAGGAAGAACCTGAAATCCCTAATCTGGACAACTTTCCATTTTGTGGTAGTGCCATGGAATCAACTATCACTGTTTTCCGACTGGATGAGTTTGTGATGTCATCCGCTGCAGTCTCTGATACTTCTGAGTCTTTTAGTACACTTTCCATGATTTCGGTCTGTCTTGACCCACCAGCTAGCAAAGAAAAGTAAGTAAAAGCAAAATTTTAAGAGAAAAAAAATGTACTTTTGTACAGTCACAATGTGTCTGATAACCGTATATATATATATAAGAATACATGCACAGTGCATTTTGTGTAAGATGACATACAAACAACACGTATATAACTACAGTCGAACCTGTGTAAGACGGTCACCGATTGTCGAGGGAAAAAGTTTCTGTCTAAGACAGGTGGCCATCTTAGGCAGGACTGATACAAATGAATCCGTGAATGAACTATGAGGGCTCGTCCACAGCCTCACGGGCCAAAATAAAATTTATGACAAAGCCTTGGGCTTTGGGTAACCATCTCAGACAGGCAATTTCGGCTGTTCCTTGCTTAAATACGGTGGTCACAGCCACGTTGGACAGGTGCCATTTTACACAATTAACCTATATATAGAGAGAAAAAAATACAAAGGGGACGGAAATGAAAAATGGTAGTTTGTGCAGGGGACCGTATTATACAGGGGGTTGTCAAGGCAGGTTCATCTGTATTTCAATGGTACTCCAACTTCTCCCACAATAGTCAGGAGATACAGGAAAAAAGTATTATTACTTCTGAAAATAATCTAATAAGAAATTATTTTAAGCAACAAAGACAGTATTTATCTGATTACTTTTAACACGAGACTGAATTTTGTAAGAAAATGGGTCATAAAGAAAAACTTGAAATCCACAAAACAATAAAAAGACAAAAAGACATCTGAAAATATTATGTGTTTCCTAAAAAATATTTTGTCTTTGGTTATAAATTCTACGAGAAAAAATAAAGCAACGTTAGATTAATTGTGAGAAGTTGTTCATCTTGAAATACCTAAAGACCAGATACATGATACATTCATGAAATTCATACATTTATCTGTTCATTCATCCAGAGGTCACCCACCTGTAGGACAAATCTCCACCTCAAGTTCAGCCAGATCTATAGACTCGGGGATTTCTTCCTCAGCTGCTTTCATTGCTGCCTCCTCCTCCCTCGTATCCAGAGAATCATCAAGCTGTATTCTTTCTAGCAATGATTTCTCCTCAGACTTGTCCGTCTGATCACCTCTGTCTGCCATGGCATTGCTGCAGCCATCGTCGTTGTTATTGCTGATGTCACAGTTCTCTTCATTGCTAAATCTAACACTTTGCGTACATTCACTTGCATTCGTATTTGAACTAACTGTTTCTTCAAGTTCGCTTTCAGTTGTAAGACTCTCCCTGGCTTTGTTTGAGCTTTTTCTGGTAATGGCATCATTTTGAGAAGAACTTTCTTTACGATCTGCTGATTGACTATCGGCTGCACCAACCTCTGTTGACTCAACTTCTTTATTCTGGTCTGTATCATTATCCGCTCCTTCTTCCCCATAACTATCTCTTCTACGCAGCGCAGATTTTCGGATGTGAGTAAGACTGCCACTGAGGGTCAAGGACTCTCCGCTGCCTGTTTTCATGTCATCTCCATGTTTGGCTGCACTGAAATCATCACTACTTTCCGTCTTACTGTTTCTCCCCTCTTTGTTTCTTCTCCCTTTCATTTTTTGTTTAACAGCAACACCAGCAGATCTTTCATCATTATCATTATCTCCGCCATCACTGCGAGGGCTGCTCAGATTGTTCTCATCCGTGCTACGACTGCTACGGATACTACCCCCTTCCTCACCACTCTTTGCCCCGCTGCTTCCTTCATCCCCACTCCTGCCCTCAGACCCCTTGTCTCTCTTTCTTGGCCTGCGTTTCCTCGGCAGTGCCCACATGTCTGTAGACTTCTGTGTGTCTGAAGCGAGATCAGCCCGGCTGTCGCTAGTGCTGAGGCCTGGATCAGTGAACACGCTGGACATGGAGAAGTCGTCCGGGACTGAGAGTTCTTCCCCCTCCTCTGCTGCAAGAGCCAGTTCCTCCTCTGTCACAGCTGAGAAATACATGGTGGTACAAACACGTCAGAGATGAAGAAAACAAGATGGCACCAACAGATAAGGAATACATAATTGTACAAACAGATGAAGAATATAAAATTGTACAAACAGAAGAGGAATACCTGATCGATATCATTCTTTAACTTTAATCATTTCATGAGCCTTTCAGGCTCTCCAGCCATTTTGCTCAGTCCTATCAGAGACTTAGAGGTCCCGTTTCTCGAATGGCCATACAGTGTTCAAAGGAATGTACAACACATCATACAGCCACTATCTGGCCCATTAAAAAAATATTTTACAAAACAGTTTTATACCTCCTTGACAGAATGTTGATCATTTAAGGGACAGGCTGTTTTGACCTAGCCAGTCAAGGTGAACCAAGGTTTAGAAATATACAACATCCTAGCAGGCAAACAGATATTCTTGATGAAAAAATACTTCCCCACACGAAAATTTAAGTTTTGTCTTCTGTACACAACTTACAGCAAAGTGCGTAACAGCTTCATCCCTGCACACCAGTCAATCTGGCCCAGGCTCTATACTTAGCATCACTCACCAACATTATCCAACTTCTGCAGATTTGGCAAGGCTCTCAGCACAGTCATCCTGTAGTTGTCAGTATTTGCACAAGGGTTTTCCGACAGCCACAGGGAGCGAAGTTTGCGTAGATTTTTCAAGTAATGAACATCTCCTAGATCAGTGATTTGGTTGGTCCTGACATATAGCTCCTGAGAAGAAAAAAACAACAACAGCTTTGGAAGTGATTAGGACGGTCTAAAAGGCACCCATCTCATCTTTAGAAAACAAAAACTATGCTGTGACCTGAATGACTTAAGTTTTCTACCCTTGATGAAAATTTTTTTTTTTTTTAAATAGGAGTTATTTCGGTGGTCAGGACCACATACAGCTCCTCTATAGAAATATTAAAAAAGTACAATATATTAGTGTGATTGTGGAGATCTTCACTTTCTACTCCTGTTGAGTATATAACAAAACTACGCAGGCAATTTTTTGGGACTGGACCTTCTAGTCGTGTTGGAAACACAAAAACCATATGGGTGATATAGTTATCAAGACTTTCTGCTCCTCCCTAGTATATAAAAATTCGGGGAGGGCGATTTGGTTGGACCTGAGGTTCAACTTCTGAAGAGAAAATTAAATAAAAATATATTGGGTGATTTTGGGGGTCTTGGCATTATAACACAAGTCGTATTGAGTACATGTGAGTCTGATTTGGTCAGTCTGGATGACATACAACTCTCCTTTAGACAACAAAAGCTCTGTGTGTGATTTGGGCTATCCGGATATTCTATTCCTGATGAGTAGGTAAAGAACTTGTAAATCCTACGTGGTAAAAATTTTAAAACAAACCTGTAATTTGTGACAATGAGCAAAATCTCTAAGCGTGGAGATTTTGTTGATGCTGAGACTGCATACCTCCAGGTTTGGCATCTGACGAACCACTTGGACGTTGCTTATATTAGACGCCCTGAGCAGTGACAAAAGGCATTGACTGATTATTCAGTTCACTGGAAGGCAAGCGGGACGGAACATAAAAGAAAGAAAAAGGGCATGATTAAATCTGAAAAAAGGCAATAACACCCGTTTCTCGAAGGAAGTTTTACTGTCATTATTATTCGAACTTACATATTAATACAACTGGTAGTTTTAGGTTCCCTTCTCTTTTTTACAGCTACATATGTTATCAATAGCAAATATATCTAATGGTATTTCATAAAACCTACAAGTCTGCTACTTCCATATAGTCATTATCATCAATATTATTCTTGATGTGCTACCTCCAGCATGATTAATTGTACCGCAATTATAACAACTGCTCCTGAACAACTAGACTAGCTTGTTACTATTTCATCTTGATTTAGTGCTCCTTTTTACAACGCTCTACCTTCATTTCCTTCTCAACAACATCTTCTATAGTAAATATTGTACCTACTACAACAGTTACTGCAACTACTATAAACTACAACGAATACTACTACAACTATTGCTACAGTCGAAATTGTCTAAGATGGCCACACATTGTTAAGGAGAAAAGTGACTTCTGTCGCAAGTTCATGTTCACATCTATTGTTACCGACTGGGTAAACAGAGCGACCGCTCATAGCCCTTATGATTTGTATATGACAAGACTTTTGGGCAGGGTTAATGGATTATGGTCTACATGCCTCCCTCACCAGCAGCTGAAAATTTGCTATTGATCAACTAGTCAACTTGGGTAAACACTGGGAGGGATCTATGCAACATGATTGGTTCATTCACTGGAGGGACTAGCAATAACAACAAGTGAATGAATTTTGATGGGTTATCCACAGCATCTACAGCTGATGTATAATTTATGGCAATACCTCCGGTGATGAGAGGTTTGCCTGGCCATCTTTGACACATTTTTGGGGGGCTGTGGTTGATAAAACATAGCTTCCGCGGCTGTACTGGACAGGTTAGTTTTATGCAGTGCCATCATATATAGAAAAAAATGGAAGGAGGGTAGGGGGAGGAAAGTGGCTGTTTATGCAGGTGGCTTTTTGGCAGGTTCAACTGTACTATTATTATTAGAACAATGACAACAATTACTACTACTAGAACTTCAAAAACAAAAACAATTACAAACAACTATTGAACAGCTATTACAACATCTACTACTACTACTACTATAGCTGCTGCTGCTACAACTACTTTTTCTCAAGACACTGACCTTAAAATAAAAGTAATACTGACCAGCAATTTAGCTTCCGCACACTGTCCAGATCATGTGCTCTGGTACGTAACAGAACAAGTTTCTCTGTTAGTTCAACACCACCAACTGTCTTACTCTTCTTCTCTTCCTTTGTGGCCATGTTGACAGACAGCGCAGTGTGGCTGATGTTTACAGATGGCTGTGCCTTCACCTGGACCCAGCTAGAACAGAAAGGAATGGGTGAACGTTCATGATAGTATTAGCATTAAAGAGCATTAAAATAATCAGGGAGGGTAAGTTCAGCATTTAAGATATATATATGTTTAAAAAGAGAAAAATGGCAACTGTCTGAAAGGAGAGATAGAATAGGCTACGTTTAAAGAGAAAATTGAAAAAAAATCTAATGAGCAATGAAAAGGATGGTATGAATATAAGTCATTATAAATACATCATGTATCTCATATAGAGTGGAATGTGTTTGCAACAATGCTCTGCTTACAAGAGAACTCTGAGGAAGTTACACAGTTACACTGGTGGTCATAATAGTTCAGCTGCTTTGCTAATGTTTTGGGTCAGTCTAAAGAATTATATAGATATAGAGCCCCTCATTCATTCTAACTCTGTCCAGGTTCAATTTGGATTTTTGGAGTTTTGACTTTGACTTAGAGGGGGCTCTACCTTTTTAAGGTAAGGATATCGAGTTGAGTTAGAAGTACCTCCAACACCACAATAAATGAAACAAAACCTTTACTGCTTCTTCATGGATTTTAAAAAGGCAGTCTACAGAGTTTGGCACGCAGCACTTACTTTCACGATGAAGCTATACAACGTCAACACCAACTCGACTATAATGATTGAGAGCATCGACAAATAGGCCACAACAAGTGTGGTCCCCAGCAACAGTAGCACAGGACACTGTTTCAAGAAACTATAGTTGGCCTAGGGCAAAACTGTACACACGCTTTCTCCTTCTCTCCTCCAATACATTTGGAAACAATATAATAATCTGATGAATGCAATGTAAGACCCAGCTATAAGTAATGGTTTGCATCAGTAGAAAAACAATTAAGAGTGTATGTTTCTACCAGATGACATTATAAAAAGTCTTGCAGAAAAGGAAGAGAGAGGAACAGTATAGTAAAACTGGTGACATAGACTTGTCTGTACAAGATTTCCACAGCTTGCAGCATGGAATTTAAAGCTTAAAAGACGAAAATGATGAAGCAGTACAGAACAGATATAAAAATTATAAGTTGAGGAGATGGCTAGCATGAACCAAGAAGGTGCAATATAGCTATAGGTTGCAAAAGCAGAAGTTTTAGAAGGAATTCAACAAGATGGTGGGCCCTTCATGAGTGACCTGAAGTCCAAAGGCTAAGTAAGACACAAAACTGAAATGGTTTCAATTTGGACACACCACATCACAATGTCATGTGGACTAGTCTATCAAAGACTGTCTCACCGGGAATAGTACAAGAATGCAATGGGAGAAGAGAGAAGCAGAAGACAGATGTGTATAGTTAGTATAATTTGTCAAATTTGTGATAAATTTGCAGAGCCCCTAAAAATGAATGTTGACTGACTTTGACAAAACTCAAAAGATATGATGATGATTATGGTGGGATAACTCATTTCCAGATAAAATTATACGAGTTATCAGGCTTAATTAACAACTCTTTGAAAAAGCCAACATTCTTCTCATTCCCTTTCATTTCAGTTTCAGCCTTTGTGCTCTCGTTCACCAATTCAATACAGTTTGTCTCATTAAAAGAACCTTTTTTGTAATAACAGATTTACCTTTACACACAGGATCACACTGCAAACAACAAATTCAACTCACATTAGAAGCTTGGCGTCAAGACTTTCGATGTGTTTCAATTTAAAAAACAATGTATCACCAGGAATGTTTACTCATGACCGAAGCACGCACGACTCCATGTTGTTTACGTCTGGATACCGAGAAGAGCGTTACTTCTCTTTTCGAACTTTGAAAGTGGAGAGCTCTAAACAATAGACCTATCGTCTTATGAAATAGTCGATAACTTTGTGACATTGTTTACATAATAATAATAATATTTGAAAAGATACTCTATATACGGGGTGAAGCTGGCCTACCCCAAATGGTGCATGCTGTGGAAAATAAAATAAATAGACTACATTCTAATGAAATAAATTTCCAATTTAAGTTCTTTTCAAAGCTGTAGTTTGGAACAGCTGTGTCTTTCTTAAGTTAATCTAATTTACACCAAGAGTAGCTTTAATCATCCATCAGTCTTGGGGAATTACCTTATCCAATCCGTGTCTTGGTTATTTAAATTACTTACTTTACTTTATCCGTCCTTTTGCACCTCTATGGCGTCATTGGACTTTAATCTTTGAAATTTGTATTTAAATCTTCGTTCGCAAAAGTGTTGAACTTTTCTGCCTTGAACAACCATATTATCCAAACACCTACACTGTTAATTTTTAATGTCCTATCTAGTGTATTGTAGAGGGTTGGAGTGGCCTGTCGCAAGAACTTAGGCCATCCGTGGCTTTTCACGACATAAAGTCGAAGCATTCCTTCTTAGAAAAAACATAAAAATAAGAGCAAAAAATACATTAAAAAAATACATAAATAAATAAATAAAAGAATAAATAAATAAAGTAAATGAATAAATAAAGATAAAGATACTATTTGAAGAAGGATGTCTATTATTTTGCAAAAGCTGATTACGCCACTAATAGGCATTTGTTACACCAACTATATGAAAATAAAACAAACAGACAGTAGCATTGGAACAGAAGTCTGTTTTGTTTTGTTTTTGTTTTGTTATGTTTTGTTTGTTAGTTCGTTCGTCTTTTGTCAGTTGTAAATTATAAGCTTGACTGAAAACAAAAGTTGAGAGGTCCCCCCCCCCCCAACCCCCAACACTAGTTGAAAGAGGGCAACACCGGTGCAGAATTTGAATTGAATAGACAAATGTATCATTCACAGATCTTTGCTATCTATTGTTCTCTCCTATTCTATTCACACAGTTGCATTCCTCCAGTAGAGTTAAATAACAGCGCCTTAAATTGAGGCTCAAGTCACTAAATTATACACCCTGGTTAAGCAAATATTGTCCTTAGTGTGCAATGTCCATACATTCACTTTGACAAAATATAATATAATATTCTTAAAAACAACAACACCTACAAAAACAAAAAACAAAGTTTAATAATTAAAAATCAACATCACATGTATGCAGATATAAAATGTACACACCGTGCACAGTCAAGAGAAGACAGTGCATGCACTGTACACTAGCTGGCTAGTCTACATTTTTACTTAGCCTTGGACGATATAGTGCTTGTCAGGGAAAATTTTTCTTTTTCTATCAAGGCGCTGCTCCGTCCACTACAGGATGTCTCCGGCCCAGGACCTCCATTCGGGATTTTGTTTTCCTTTCTTTTTAGCTTTTTGTCTGTTTTTGTGTGTGTGTGGGGGGGGGGGGGGGGGGGGTCTTTTTTGGGGGTGGGTCAGCTATTTTCTGTGTCCAGGTTGTACACTTCAGCTTTCTGGCGTCATCCAGCCACCCTCTGTCTTGTCTTCCCCTTGATCTTTTCCCGGTTCTTGGTCCCGCATTCAATGTATCTTTGTGTCCATCTGTTGTCTTTCACTGTGTCGAAGACAACCAATTAGGACAATACGATCAAGAATATTAATATGACGACTGCTGCAGTGGCGTCGCGTGGGTTGCAGACAAGGTGGTGCATAATTGGAAAGTGAGCAAATGGGCAATAGGCTTAGTAGCTACTTTTAAGATTTGTAGAGAAAGTCAATAATTAGAATCTGCATGGTGTCTGCATAAAAGCTGCAATAAAGTGAAACAATACTAACAACTCACTATGCTCACAATCTGAGAAGATTTAAAGATTTCTAATTACTTCGTGCAGCAACCAGGACTTGTTACACAATAGAGGGAGACAACTGTTTCAATACCCATTCTTCATTGATTTACCGTAGACTCTACTAGATCTAGTGTAGTAGATAGGCTCGCGGAAACTTGGATCAGACTTTTAGCTTGCACCAAATTGGTGCTACGACGAGCAGTTTCATGCACCTTTCTTCTTGTGCGGGAAGACCGATGCCTAGATTTCTCTACAGTGACAAAAATAACTTTGGTGCAAAGATTTTGCTTGCTCCCAGCAGACACTACCGCAAGCGATGCGACGAGAATAAACCATCCTCGCCGTCTGTCTCTTCACTGGCGCAGCTCGCGGGTGACGGATTGCAAGGATGTAGTAAGTAGGATAGCCTTGGCCTAATGTAGATCTAGAGCACTGACGGGTTTAGAACAATTAAAAAGGGAGGGGGGGGGGAGTGAAGGCCAGGGTTAGGTGGAGCGCTTGCACCAATTGCACCAATGGCGCCCCGCCACTGGACTGCTGTGACTTCTGGGAGAGGATCGATATTCTGCGCAATATCTTTATTCCATAATCCATCTTAATATGTTTCTATAGGTTTTCATAGCTTTAAAAATCTTGGCTAATAAGTCTTTTTTTTTAAATATTGAGACTGGTCGTGATTGTCTTCTCTTGTCTTTTCCAAAATAGCCGTTTTAATTATAGCCACTTTCAGAGACGTAGGCCAAATCAGCGCTTACGAAGGGGCGGCCAAATCGAAGACAATTTTTTTGTGGCTAGGAATGTGTGAAGCTTGTGAAGGCCACCTATGAGGGAACAAGCTGCCAAGTCTTCCACGAAGAACAACTCTCAGAACCATTCCGGGTACAGACAGGAGTGCGACAAGGATGCTTGCTCTCACCTTTTCTCTTCATATTGGCAATTGACTGGGTCATGAAACAAGCCACCAGAGGCAAACGTAATGGAATACAATGGATCCCTTGGCAGCAGCTGGACGACTTGGACTTCGCCGATGACCTTGCGCTGCTCTCTCACACACATGCTCAGATGCAAGAAAAGACCAAGGAACTCAACAGCCTATCAAGGAGTGTTGGCCTACGTATACATCCAGGCAAGTCAAAAGTAGTGAAGCTAGGAAAAGTTTCAAACCTTGCTGTGACAGTGGAAGACACTCCCCTTGAAGAAGTGGACTCCTTTACCTACCTTGGAAGTGTCATCGATGGTAAAGGTGGAACCGAGGCAGATGTTAAAGCAAGAACCGCCAAGGCAAGGCCAGCCTTCAAGCAATTATCAAAAGTCTGGAAAGCAAGCAACATCTCACTGCGCACCAAGATTCGACTTTTTAACTCCAACGTCAAGTCTGTGCTCCTCTACGGCTGCGAAACTTGGAAGACAACAAAGACAGTACTGAAAAAGGTCCAGACTTTCATCAACAGATGTATGAGGAGTATTTTAAGAATTAAGTGGCAGGATAGAATAAGAAATGAAGAGCTGTGGGAAAGGACAGGACAAAAGGATATAGAAGTAGAAATAGGACTAAGAAAGTGGCGATGGATGGGACACACCTTAAGAAAGCCCAGCGTAAACATCACAAGACAGTCACTGCAGTGGAACCCACAGGGAGCACGAGGCAGGGGTAGGCCACGGGAAACATGGAGGAGATGCCTGGAAAGGGACATGAGAAAAATGAAGCTCACTTGGAACGAGCTTGGAAGGATGGCTCAGGACAGAGATAAATGGAAGGAGCTTGTATGTGGCCTATACCCTGCCAGGGGTGAAAGGCATTGATGAGGAATGTGTCACGTAAATATTTAGACGACAGAGGCATATGCCCATTTTCATATTCAAGTCGGGATTTTTTCTCTAGAAAGGTTTTAAAAGAAATAGATCTAACAGAAACTAAAAAAACAACAACAAACTATAATCAGGTCTAGGGCCTAATATATTTTTGTCGAATGACGGAAACCCCCCCAACCAAATCATTAAAAATTATTATCATTCTTTCAGATTTAGAAAAAGTTTATAAATTAGTCTTGCATCAATGGCTTTGATACCATTCCAATTTATCTCGCTTTTCTGACTTCGTGGCTGCACAGGCGTGGGAAAGCTAAGTTTTAAAATATTTTATTAGAATCTGTATTCTTTTTTATAATAACAGTAAAAATAATTTTCGACACCTCTTCCCCCTTCACACACATACACACACAGACACACACAGACACACACAGACACACACAGACACACACAGAAACACACACATACACACACACACACACACACACACACACACACACACACACACGCTACGCGCACACACACACACACACACACACACACACACACACACACACACACATACATACACACAAACAAACACACACACACACACACACACACACACACACACACACATACATACACACAAACAAACACACACACACACACACACACACACACACACACACACACTTCTTGAAATAAGTTTAACTGACGCCATGTCGATTCTAACATGACCCATGAAAAATGTTCACTGTTCACTCTGGATGTGTATTGGCAATAGCCTACTAGCCTATACAGACATGGGCAAGTGAGTTCAAATCGTGGGCTGAATTAAACAATTCTGAATATTGCACTGGCCAAAACATGAGACATTTGAATGAAATTGGATGAAATACCCAAATTCTCAAAAGTGAGACTAAAACTGACACTGTAATGCATGTCACCCTAGGTCATTTTATAAGATGAAACATTAGACTGTTAAGGCTTCCATATGGGCCGGAAACTATTAGGCCTACTTTTGATATTCAAGACGGCCAGTTTTGTTTTTATTAAATTAATTATCAACTCACCTCGGGCCACATTCATTATAATACATGTAACTGGGTGGACTCGCAAACTCGCAGACTCGACTGAAAATGCTCTTGGGCTGGATCTGGGCTGCGGGCTGTTGTTTTCCCAGGTTGCTTTAATAGGTCAGGTAAGTTCTGAATAAGGGGGCTCCAGTGGCTAAGTGAGGATGTGATATTCGACTCTAGAGTAAACTCGAGCAAGTGTTGGTGACACAGGGATCAGATGGGTGGTCACAGGGGTGTGTCCTTGAGCAAGACACGACAGCTCTCTAGCTAAAAACACAGTGCGCTGCATAATGGCGACCAGTACTGGCATGGTTGTAAAATTGTTCTGTAGGCCCAGGCTTATTGGTGTGATATTGTGTATTTATGTTTGTAAATGCGTATGTATTTATGTATATAGGCCTATGTATTTATAATGATGTATTTTTGTAAGCCTATGTGTTACGTATGTTTGCCATAGTAAAACGATGTGTCCTTCTGGGATCAATAAAAAACGTAATTTATTCTATAATATTAAACTGACATTTACTCAATTGTCTACTATAGGCATAGTCAAGTCTCAGGTCTTTAATGTTATTCCTTCTCCAAAACGGCACGCTATAATGCTATCTTAAGAGTAAGGAAAAGTACAGTATGTTTTTTTCCTTGTCACTGGAACCACCAAGCCGTCTGGTGTGGAGTAGTTTGTTACGATCTTGAACGGACAAGAGTCGTGGTTCAAATCTGAATGGGCTATCGACATAATATTGCCGTCAAATAAAGACAACAAAAACAACAACAACGACGACCACCTCCACGACAACGACGACAACAATAACAACAATGACAACAATAACGACAATAACGACAGCAACAATAGGTCCTACAACAAAAAACAATAACAAAAACAAGGTCCGACTTCGTTTTTCTCCAATTTTGTTTATGTCCTTCTATTTTACCTTTTCATGCATTAAATAGGTGTTATAAAGTCAATAATATGAATTCTCTTTATTCAGAATCAAAATACATTAGTGCCATTCTTCCATTTTTCTTTTTCTATTGACGTATTCAGGTCTTCGCATGACTCAAAACTGAATTAAATGTAGTACAATGATCGTCCTTTTTCTACCATTCGTCTCTTTTCTGCATGTCGTCATTTTTTCTACCTGCCGTCTCTTTTCCACCATTCATCCCTTTCTATTTGTCGTCCCTTTTCCACCATTCATCCCTTTCTATTTGTCGTCCCTTTTCCACCATTCATCCCTTTCTACCTGCCGTCCCTTTCTACTTGTCGTCCCTTTTCCACCATTCATCCCTTTCTACTTGTCGTCCCTTTTCCACCATTCATTCCTTTTTACTTGTCGTCCCTTTCCACCATTCATCCCTTTCTACTTGTCGTCCCTTTCCACCATTCGTCCCTTTCCCACTTCTATGGGCGTATTCTGGAGAAACAAGGGAGACAACGCTCTCGGTACTTGGCCGGGCAGATGTCTTCCCGCGAGGCAAATGGCGGTCGGCGCGAGTTCTGACAGATGTCACATCCATCACCTCCCTGGTGGGACCCCAGACAGAAAGGACAGATGACGTAAAGGACAAGACAACGCCACGTATTCCCCGCCTCCCACTCTCTCCTCTGTCTGTCTGTTTGTCTGTCTGTTTGTCTGTCTGTCTGTCGCTCTCTCCCTCTCTCTCTCTCTC